TTCAGTCCCTGCACATCTACCTGGGTGTCAAATGACTAAAATCCTCACGGAATCACACCCATCCTTGACTAGTGATTATCTCTGTATTGTTTCATATAAATTTGAAGTACCTAAAGTTTTGTGTAAATTCACTTGAAAAGTGCAACAAACTTGTTGCAGTATCTTCTTAAATAGTCGTAGCACAAGTTAGTATGTACCATCATTATTTGTAGGATTAATCAGTCAGTAGGCTGAAACAGACTCGTGTTATTCTGTTGATGCAATATTTTTATTTTTCAATAAATGTCAAACAATGACACTTCGGCAATGAAAAAATGCTCCACATAGTCACATTGTACCACTTTAGCTGAAGTCAAAAGTGACTAAATCAGCCTATAGCATCACACATCCCTCTGGGAGCTAGAGATGAGCCTGTTTGCAAGGTGGTAGCTTGTTAACATCTCATTACGAAGGCTTCCTGGTGCTGCTGGGAAACAACTGAGGCAAAGTATCACTTATTGATGCGTGGTCTGTCTTCTGAGGGCAGATGGTATCTATGGCTATTTTTAAATTAACTGACAGTAAAATAATAATTTAAAAAAACATTTTTTACAGCAGTTATTAAAAGGCAGGACATACTGTTTAAATACTTCACCTTTGAAATATATCCATCTCAGAGGTATATGAAGCACACCCATCTCCTATGGTTGACACCAAAGCCATGAGCATCTACAAGCAGACATTCCCAGATGATAGTTAATTCAGCAGAATGAAAAAAGATGACATAACAATTAAACTCTATTTCCAGAACTTTCTGTTTATCAGGTTTTGTTCATGGTTATTAAGTCCTGAACTCCTAAAGTGTGAATGACTGCTACTGATGCTCCTCATATGTTTGTTTTTTGTTTTGGCTGTGGTTTTTACAACCACCTCCAGCCAGCTGAAAGGGATTTCTAATGCTTTGTTTTCCCACAAATAAGAGGTGACTTGCTGACTGTACTTGGAATGTGTGGGTGAAGGTATCTGCAAAGGACATCTACACTTTGCTTAGTGACTTTGGTCACATTGTGGATTTTCAGCCACCTAAACATGGCCGCCAAGCTGCTCATCTTTCCCTCTTCCATCCACAGTTGTTCCTCCAGCCCTTTCTCACCTGTGCTCCTCCTGTATGCTTCTATAGCCACAGAAGCCCTCCCTAGCCCTGGGAAGCAGAGGAGACTCATGTGTTCCTTGGACCTCCCTCACAGCACCAACCCCAGGAGCCCTTGGCTTAGCCCTCACATTCTCCCTTTATGAGCAGGTGTTCCCATCCACAGCCACGATCTGACTGAGCAACACCGAGGACCAGACAACTGCGAGGTGTTTAGAGACCTCAAAACACAGGTGACAATCTGCTCTCACTGGCAATGAGAGAGAGAGTCAGGGTCAAGAAAGTTGAAAATAAGACAGCTGCTTAATTTGTTTTGATGAGGATAACAAGAAATTCAGAGGAGGGAGAAATTTACTTTTATGGAACTGGCCACTGAAGTTTCCACAGAAATGATATGACAATATCTGAGATTTGAAGAGTGAAATTTGCAAAGGGAATTGGAGACAAGAAAACAATGGAAGCAACACATAACAACAACAACAACAAAAAAACAGGTACTTACAATGCGTTTCTGGTGGTGAAAATCTATTGTTCAAGGGAACAGTAAATACAAAGGTAGATGAAACTGTCCTGTACAGAGATGAAGGTAGGTCTCATCATGACCCCAAAGCAAAGCCCTGCCTTTATTTAGCCTTTAAGTAAATCAGTGGTTTGTGCCTAGCACTATTCGAGGGACTGGGAATGCAGTAGTTAAGAAAATGGACAACCAGTCCCTCCACTCCAGTCTCTAAAAATTAATTAATTTGCATTTTTCACTGATACAAATTTTAATTTATCACATGCAATATTGTTTTAAAATGCCGTAGAATGGTTAAACCGAGCTAATTAGCACATACATTATTTCACATATCATTTTTGATGGGGAGGGTACTTAAAATCTCCTAGTAACTATCAAGATAACAATATAGTATTAATTCAAGTCATCATGTTGTGCAGTGGGTCTCCTGACTTTATTCCTTCTCTTTATCTGAAATTTTATATTCCCCTCTCTCCTGCCACCTCCTGGAAACTGCCATTCTGTTCTATTTCTTGGAGATCGAGATTTTTAGATTTCACACATAAGATTCATGTTTGTCTCTCTACCCAGGCTTCTTTCACTTGACATAATATTCTCCATCTTCATTCATGTTCCTTCCTTTATAACTAACGTTCCGTTATGTATCCACAGTGCCTTTTCTTTACCCATTCATCCACTACCAGGGCTATGGTTGATTCCACACTGGGGCTGTTGGCGCTAGTGCTGCATCAATATGGAACTCAGACAGCTGTGCCGTACATGAGTCACACAGCAGTTCTAGTTTCAGTTTTTTGAGGCCCTTCCTCACCCTACCGACTTATATTCACACCAACAGTATATAAGGGATGCATTTTCTCTGTGTCTTTGCCAACATTTTAAATCTTTTTTTTTGAAGATTTATTTATTTTTATTTGAAAGGCAGACTTTACAAAGAAAGAAGGAGAGAAAGAGAGTGAGAAGCTGAGACAGAGATAACTTTCATCCGTTGGTTTATTCCCCAAGTGGCTGCAGCAGCCAGAGTTGAGCCTATCCAAAGCCAAGAGACAGGAGTTTCTTCATGGTTTCCCACATTGGCATAAGGTCCCAAGGACTTGGGGCCATCCTCTGCTGCTATCCCATGCCATAAACAGGGTGCTGGATCAGAAGTGGAGCAGTTGGGATACAAACAAGGGCCTGGATGTGGGTACTGCAGAGAGAGGATTAACCTACAGACCCACCTTGTCAGCTCCTTTTATATTTGTTGATATTAGGCACTTTAACGTTGGTTTTTATTTGTATTTCTCAATTGGTGATGTTGGACATTGTTTCATATTTCAGTTGGCCATCCGTGAGTCTTTTTTTTTTTTTTTTTTGCAGAAAAATCTATTCAAGTCCTTTTCTCATTTTTACACTGGGTTATTTGTTTCCTGGCTGTTAAGTAGTGTGAGCTCTCCACTTAGGATGTTAACACCTGTCAGACGTACAGTGCGCACACACTCGCTCCCATGCCTCGGGCCCTCTGTGTCCTTCACTGCTTGTCTTCTTCCATCGCTCACCGAGCTCTACTTGGGTCCAGTCACGCTGCTTCCCGGATTCCTTGAAACAAGCCTACTTAGCTCCACCTTCAGAGCTCTGTCTCTGGAATGTTCCTCCTCTGCCTCTCCAGCAGCTCACAGAATAAGAGCTGTAACCTGAGGTTAGCATTCTCGGACTCCTCAGGAGACACTGCCTCAAGCCACTGTGTAAAGTGCAAGTCCTCTGTCTTCTTTCCCTTATACAGACTGCATCAGTCTCAGATGATTTTTTTTTAAAAATTGAGTTTCCTTATTCCATAAGAATAGAAGGCAAATCATTTTATTTACTTTTTATTTTCAACACTTGGAATAGTGCTTGCACATCACAGGTGCTTCACATATATTTGTGGAATGTATAAATGAATGAATGAATCCATAGAGAAGGAGTCAGTTGCCTTCCCAGGAACTGAAATGCTGACACTTTAAAGCCACACCGTGGCCCAGTAAAAGTGATTGGTTAGTACTGTCGGCCCAGATCTCAGGAATAGCAATTGATCATATAAGCACTGAATTCTATATCTTACGTACGGCAGGCCACTGCCCAAGCCTCTGCTGAAATCTTGGGATAGAGCTATCCTGATAATAAGAGCACACAGCCTGCAAACTGGCACAGTAGTTAAGAGGCAACTCGTGCAGTGCAGGCAGCCGACAGCAGAGCGCTGGTTGGATTCCTGGGTGCTCCACTGCCCAGCCAACTCCAATATAAGATGGCCAGGACTTACTTGCTATCCACGGGAGACCTGGATGGAGTTTCAGGCTCCCGACTTCAGCTTGATCCAGCCCAGATGGCTGTTGTGGCCATCTAGAGAGTGAACCAGCAGATGGAAGACCTCTGTCTCATTCACTCAAAACAGGTTTGGGCAGTTTTGCACAAATAACTTACTAATTCAGAGCTGAAAATTAATTATTTCGAAGACAGATGCAAAAGATAATAAAGACAAAAGCGATTTAGTCAAAGAGAAATCTTCCACGGGGATTTTGTTGGTTTCTCAATCTCCCCCTCCCATCCCACCAACAACTCTGATCTGAAGGTGCCCCGGGGAATTCTTAGAGATCTCGTTTAAAACCAATACTGGTTTGGAGTGATTACAGAATGCTGACAGTACAAGAGAGAATAAAGCAAAGTCCCAACACAACTCTGAAGTATACTTTGTCTTCCCCGAAGGCTTCTGAGACCGGGATCCTTGGAGGAGGAGGAGAAGGGTACCTCCCTCTCCGGCTCGGTCAGAGTGAGGCGCACCTGCTAAGGGACAAGCCTTCTGCAGTCTATGCCTCTAACATGGCAAAGTCCAACCGGGCTCCCCTGTCTCACTCTCCTCATAGAATTTCAGACAACCTGCAGGTTATCCAGCTCCCGAATGGCAGGAAAGAGAAATCAGGTGCTTCTTCCCCGGCGGGCTCTGCAAAAGCTGGGCCTAGACCCCACGTCCAAGCCGGGGGAAACTTGGTGTATCGCTTTCCCACCTCGAGGTACCTGGGCTCCTCTGCTTCTCCCGCGAGCTGATGGGAAAGGGCAGGCGGCGAGAACTTGAGAGCCGCACGGGCAGCCCATACTGCTCACTAGATCAGAGAGGAACAGGTGCCCTGTTCGCGCTCGCCATCGCGCCCCCTCTCGCAGTACCCTTCGCCCTTGGCATCCCCGCCCCCGGTTCCCGCGCCGAGGGAGGCGCCGATTGCAGGTAATTATTGCCACGGGGCCCTCACGGAGCGGGGCCGGGCGCGCCAGCGGGGGCGGGCGGGAGCGGCGGGCTCGGGCATAAATGGGCGCGGCGCGGGGCCCCAGCGCCTGGCTCCCACCAGCATGCCCGCCTGCGCCCCGCCGCGCCGCCCGTCGCCGCCGCCGCTGCTGCTCTTGCTGTTGGCCCTGGGCGGCCGCCGCCTGCGCGCTGAGCCGGGCGATGGCGCGCAGACCTGGGCCCGCTTCGCACATCCTCCGTCCCCCGAGGCCGCGGGCCTCCTCCATGACACCTTCCCCGACGGCTTCTTCTGGGCCGTGGGCAGCGCCGCCTACCAGACAGAGGGCGGCTGGCGGCAGCACGGCAAGGGCGCGTCCATCTGGGACACATTCACCCACCACCCCTCGGCACCCCCGAACACTCCCTTGCCGTCGGACACCCAGTCTCCACCCCCGCCCGCCACCGGAGACGTGGCCAGCGACGGCTACAATAATGTTTTCCGCGACACAGAGGGGCTGCGCGAACTCGGGGTCACCCATTACCGCTTCTCCATTTCCTGGGCTCGGGTGCTCCCCAATGGCAGCGCGGGCGCCCCCAACCGCGAGGGGCTGCGCTACTATCGGCGCCTGCTGGAGCGGCTGCGGGAGCTGGGCATACAGCCCGTGGTCACCCTGTACCACTGGGACCTGCCGCAGCGCCTGCAGGACGCCTACGGCGGCTGGGCCAACAGCTCCCTGGCCGACCACTTCAGGGATTACGCCGAGCTCTGCTTCCGCCACTTCGGCGGCCAGGTCAAGTACTGGATCACCATCGACAACCCTTACGTGGTAGCCTGGCACGGCTATGCCACTGGGCGCTTGGCCCCTGGTGTCCAGGGCAGCGCGCGGCTTGGGTACCTGGTGGCGCACAATCTCCTCCTGGTGAGTGCTGGGGGCCACGCCGCTGAAAGAGAGAGAGAGAGAGGGGAAAAAAGTGAGTGAGAGAGAGAGAGCGCGCGAGAGAGCACGACCCTTGGAAGTGCCAAGGCCAACTGGGGAGGCCAGAGTCTCCAGCTCAGATGGGGTCTCCCTGGAGCACACTGGTGAATTCACCTAGGATTGACGCCTTCAGGGAAACTGCCAGCTCCGACCTCCTTTGGAGGAGGCGGAATTAAGGCTGGGAGGGGAAGCCGGCAATGTGTGAGGCCCTGAGTGCCCCCGGGAGCTCATGCATCCCTAGGACAGAGGAGTCAGTTTGTTCAGTGCAGGGAAAGAATTTCTTTCTCTGTGAGTTCCCAGGTAAGCACAGGAAACTGGTGGTAGCCGCAGGGAAAGGATGGAGGTGGATGAACAAAGCTAACATGGAGATGCCAGGCACAAGAAGATAAACATGACGTTGGCCGTGTGACACCTGTATTCCCGTAGTGCTCTGTCCAGTTTAAGGGCTCCTCATTCACTAGATGAAAGTCATTCTAACACCTTTAACACCTTCGTGCAAGTCTTCATTCGCTCAGGAAATATCTTTGTGCTAAAATTATTTCTCAATCATTTTTTTTCTGTGCTTGTCATCTTTCCTGAGTGTTGTGATGTCAGTTGGCACATTTTGTCCAGGGTTTTGGATCTGGGTATCTTAGGTATATGTATAAATATTTTAATAAAAGTGCTTCAATGTGCAAGTTTGGATATACTGTTTTGGTGGCTTGTGGAGCTATTGGGAGAACAGTGTTCAAGTTCAAAATTAAGCCATGTATTCTGAACAAGCTCAAGAGAAAGACTATTTTTAAGCAGTGTTAATTAAAGCCATAGATAATTGAGGTAGAACAGTACTGGATTATTAAGTTGACGTAGGGGCTCTGAGATGCTGGTAATGTAATAATATCTAAATTAGATTGTACATCAGCTCCATAAAACCTGTCCGCTACTACCCATCATAAAAAGAGGTTGGTTTCATTTGATGGACAAATTGCGATTTTGGCGATATCTTGTATGTCTTCTCAGAAGGGTACTTTTGAGCAAATGATTCTTAAGCTTTTTTCAGTTTGTCAATCCTTTTAGGGAAACCAAAAGAAGAAGAAAACACCATAAACACCAGCAGTTTATGGTTGCTGTTATTTTTGTGGAGAGAAATGCTACACCTTTTGAAGAACATAAACAAATCACCCATAGATGTGAGAAAAAAGAGACCAGTGGACCTGCTGAAGATGTGGCAGAGCATGCCTGGGAAGTCACTGCTGAAGAGTTAAATCATACACATCCTATTTTTAAAGTACAAATAGACTCTGTATTTATACAGAAGTCATTTGTTATAGTGAGTTATGGTCGTTTCATTTGTAAGATAAGGAACCACATGACTCTGGTACTTTGGTATTTTAAATAATCAACAGATTTTAGATTCTCGTGCTTATTTTTGACCCTATGACTAACTTTCTAGTTACTTTCATGAGACATTAAACTAAAGTTGTGCCAAACACTCAGCATCCTTTCCAGAAATGCAGTGGACTTTGTATTTGTAAGAAATTAGCAACTGGTGGATAATTGACTTGGTTTTGCTGATGCCACAAACAATGTTGATTGCTGTAAAATATTAATTTTGCTTTTAAATGTGCTTGGATTTGGAATTCAGTCACTCTTGTGCTTTTACTTAGAAATAAGTTGTTTATCAAAAGAGATTCGTTAATTTGATCCCAGAAGATCTTTTCATTCTGTTTCCAATGTTCTTTCTTGGTGTGTGGAAGGAGGAAGTGGGTGTAGGGAAGCTGTCTCTTACCTAAAAAACAAGTCACATATGGCAGAAATTAGCACTGGGAAACTTCAAATGGAGATTGGCTGTTACTGTCCCACACAATTAGAAGCCACTGGGACTGAAGAGAATTTATTTGTGCCTGCGGGTCTGATGTTGATGAAGTATGGAGAAGCCAGCACACCTTCCATTCCTCTCTGTTTCACCCCTAATTGACAAGTGGGCTAGGGGACTCCTCTGGGAACAGGGGAGGCCTCCCAGGGATTCAGAGTTATGATCTGATGACCTGCAGGTGGCAGGCCCCAGGGACTGCAGCTGGGCGGGGTGCTTAGAATGGAGGCATGGGTGATCACTTTGAGGTTCTTAATCTTGGTGTGAACGTGACAAAATAGTGTGTTTGGGAGTGTATGTGAGAGAGATGGGGGTGCAGTGCAGGAGAGAGAAACTGAAGGAAGGATTTTCTTGCTGAGATTGTGGCCTGGATTTCTGATTATAACCCAGAGAAGGCTACACCTTCTTGGTAAGTCCCCTTCCATCCCAACCCCAGTCCTGGGAAGTTCATGCACATAGCTGTGCAGGGGACCTGCAGAAAAGACAACTAGGAAAGCTGGGCTAGGGGAGGTTAATCTGAGCACTAATGTGTGGTGGGACCATGACTGGTGTGAGGTGTGAGCCTCGACTTCGCACTCAGCTGAGTTGTGTGTGAGGCTGCTCTAAGCCACCACTCCCTCTTTCCTGATGCACTCCCTCAGTTTGGCCTCCAGACCCCTACCTGTAGTTTCTCCCTGCATACCCCGCGAGTATTCCAGATCTCTTTGCCTTTGGGTCCTCACCTTGCCTGTAAAAAGGGCTCGCCTCTAGTTCACTCCAGGTGACCCTTTGTATCCAAAGGACTTCAAACTTTGAACCTCCAGTGGGACTTTTCTTGGGTTCGAGCCTTGGCTAGACCAATTAATGTATAATAGACGCATCAAATGTGACACTATTAATACTAAACCCTTGTTTTCCCAATCTCTCTCGTGGCATTTTCTATTCTTGTTGGATTCTTATTCTTAACCCTTGTCTTCCTCTGATATCTTACTTCTAATTTTCAACAAATCCTACAGCTCTCCCTACCTTCTGAATGTGGAGAGAATCAAATCCATTCTATCATCTACTGCCACAGCTGGGGTCCTGACCACCAGGAGAATCTGCCTCCTAGCTGGTGACCTGGCTGCTGCCATACCCCCTGCAGTGTGTCCTGATGGCGAGTCTTCCTGGTAGACACGGCAGAGTATGACCTGCAGACAGGGGAGGGTCCCTGCCTGTTCAAGAAGCAGCTGCTTTGGGCCCACACCTGAATGCCATCTTTCCCTTCCATGGAGCCCCATAATGCCACACTTCATTGGGATGCCTCCTATCACATGCTTGGTTCACTGCTTATCTCCCCTCTTACCAGCCTACCAGCTGGGCAATTATCTTAGTGAAAAAGGCTTGTTCATCTGACTTAGGACAGTTTTGTGGCTGGAGATCAGAGGGTGGCTTCTGGCTATTGAAGAGTTTAATTTTGCCCCCATTGACTCATGTTTCTATGCTTTATTCTGCTACCAATATCACTAGCCATTTTCTGACAGAGAACACCAAATCTCAGGTGGGAAGTAGAAAAATCAGTATTCATAAAGAGTCAAAAACTCACATTTTCTCTGCAAATTTGAACTTTATCATCAAACATATGATTCTCTGATAAAGACTTCCAGCTAAAAGCTTATAGTCCCATTCAGTGCTATGCAGGTGTTTTCACCATGGGGTAAAGTCACAGTCTGGTGTTATTTATACGGTTTATCTGGGAAGAGATTTTGTAATCTTCATTCCTAAAGGAATTAGTAGTTTATTATATATTAGGTGTACTCAAATTATGCTATGTACCTTCAGGAAGTCTGTAAAAAATTTGGCTAGATTAGCCAACTGGGTTGAAAGGTAATGTATATAATAGAATACTGCTGATTCTGTATACATTTAATCAGAGAGAGTTACAATATGTTCCAAAGAACTTGAATCATTCTTCTTTGAATCTCTGAACGCAATGTGTTTGTAAAAGTTATAGTCCAGTCCAATAAAAATTAATTAATTAATTAATTAATCAATCAATCTGTCTACTTATCTAACTTGTAAGAGTTACAGAGAGAGAAAAATCGTCCATCCTCTGCCTCATTCCCCAGATGACCACATCATTGGTTGGAGCAGGGCTAAGCGGACACCAGGAGCAAGAGTTTCTTCTGCAACTCTCACATGGGTGGCAGGGGCCTAAACACCTGGGCCATCTTCTACTCCTTTTTTCAGAGCATTGGCAGGGAGCTGGACTGGAAGTGGAGCCCTGTGAGTCAAACTGGTTTTCCTATGGAATGCCAGCATGACATGGCTGGTGGTAGTTTTGCCATAATGCTGGCCCCAAGGAGAAAAAAAAAAAAAATAGAATAGAAAAGGAACTACTACTTTCAAAATCATAGCAACATTTTACCAATGCCAATTATTTAAAATTCAATAAGAGTGATAATGAAAATTATCGAACATTTAAATAATGCCAAGTGCAAAATGAAGTTATGTATGACTACACTGCCTGACTAGGTCATCAGTCAGCAGTTTGACACACAGAAACCTTCTGATTGTTTCAAAAAATATCATTGCTCTGAACCACAATTGTGATATAATCAATTTGTGTAAAAAAAAAGTGCACTTTGGGCCCGGCGCGGTGGCGCAGTGGTTAAGGACCTTGCCTTGCACACCCGGGATCCCATATGGGCGCCCGTTCTAATCCCGGCAGCCCCGCTTCCCATCCAGCTCCCTGCCTGTGGCCTGGAAAAGCAGTTGAGGACGGCCCAAAACTTTGAGACCCTGCACCCGTGTGGGAGACCCGGAAGAGGCTCCTGGCTTTGGATTGACTCAGCTCCAGCCGTTGAGGCCGCCTAGGGAGTGAATCATCAGACAGAAGATCTTCCTCTCTGTCTCTCCTCTCTGTATATCTGCCTTTCCAATAAAAACAACAACAAAAAAATCTTTTAAAAAAGTGCACTTTTAAAAAGTTATCTCACTTTTTTGAGGCAAAAGGGAGATTTTCAAAGTAAAGGAAGAATGGAGTATGTGCTTTGGAAGGTAAAGGGAAATCCATTGGTAGTAACAATGTATGTACTCATTGAATTCTCCAATATTCAAGAAAAATTATCAG